CAACATCATCGCAACGCATGAAGAGGGAAAATATTGGCTTGGTGACAGCATTCAATTTTCTATAGTCGAATCGCTAGTAAAGCGATAACTGTTGTCAGGCTTTTTCACCATGACAACTCGGGAACCATTCCAAAGTACTGGGTTCAATTATATTGGCATCTAACATCTGCTGGATTTGTTTTGAGCATTCTTCCCTGGCAGCTGGTGATTGTCGGTAGAACCATTGTCTAATTGGCATAGCATCTCCTGTTTCAATTTTGTGTTCATGAAAATGTGTTCTACCCAATTGAGACCAGTCTTGTGCAAAGACTGACTGCTGTGATAGGAGAAAGCATTCTAGTTGACGTTTCTGATCATCAGTGAGGTCAGAGTCACTGAGGTCGAAGGATAGAGGTTGGTTAGTTGACTCAGAAGTGTCAACATCCGATGACAGAGAGAATTGGCAGAAGGAGAAGAGGGTTTCTCTGATGAAAGGGTATATATGAAAGAAGGGTCAATGACAGAAGCAGAGGCAACTGAGTTTGACTGAATGGCTGTTTGGATTCAGAAATCTCATGCAAGTTTTACCACTTACGTTCTTGATTAGACATTTGGCACCTTGTAGCTTGAGCTTCTGTAAGCATGGATAAGGTTCCAAGAGAAGTTTGTCTGATGGACAGCGTGAAATATGGACTGGAATATCTGCCTGAGAGTTGGGTTGGATACTGACAGTCCAAGAGGAGTCTAGCAAGTCCTGCATTGGTTGCTAACAGTGAGACTGATACAAGGCCATCATAAAGATTGACTGTTTGTGATGACAGATCTATGGTAACTCTGTTAGTCTGCAAAAAATCCATACCAAGGATGACAGTATGATGTAATGACGAAAAGACATGAAATATTTGAGAATACTTAACATGACCTATGTTGTCCAAGATATTTTTATGGATTAAACTTCTTTTTAATTTCTCTCATCAACGTTTCGAGAGACCATTCCAGGTCCCTTCATCAGGTGAACTGGCAGTTAGGACTATGACGTTGTCACTATGACGATCATAACTGAGTTATGACGTCACAATGCAAGTGACATCACAGTACACTAGGGAGAGTACTGTATAAGTGAGTTAGTTACATAATGATGAAATTCATGCTAAATAATAGAGTTGAAAGTTGAATTGTCAATACACAACAACTGCTAATTACACAAAGGTTACTTGATAGCAGGCTTTCCAAAAAAGAATAGTAGACTAGTTTTTTCTTGTATCCCCGATCAGGATCACAATACCCTATGTGGGACCAGTCAGCCATCAGATAGCCCGACTAATCAAGAGCAAAGGTTGGGGAAGTTTGACTGGCTTGGAGGTGCTGTCTTTACATGGTGGGGTTGGCTATGGTGATACTGCCTGTTTTGATGGTAAGGTCGTTTGCTTGCTGGATGACTGGGCCGTTGATGATTTGGGGAGTGTGATAGGGCCACTACTGTCTGTTCATGTCTGACTTCTAGAAAGGATTTTACAAGACCAGACAGCTTGTCAACTTGATCTACCAGGTTCACCTGTGATGCCATAGAACTTTCATTTGCCTTCTCGGCGAGTTGGGCGTGGTGGCGGACGTCTTCCATGGATTTGGGCTCTTTGTTATACACCCACTGCTTGAGTGATGGTAGCAGTCCGTTGACTGTGATGGCTACCATTAGTTTCGAGGGATGTCTGTTTGTAGTGTGGCCTCTTGCACCCTGCTGAGGTAATTTTCCACACTCTCTGTTGCTCTTTGGCTGATGGATAAAACTGTCAGGTCAAAATGACCTGATCGGCTGAACCGCTCTAGAAATGCTTGCTTGACTTCCCTCAGGTCAGACTTGTGGTCATCTGACAGTGCCTGGTGCCAATGCTTAGCTGGGCCTTCGAGGAGGAAGGGAAGCAACAGGCAAGCCTTTTGGTCGGAAGCTTGTTGCAGCGTTGTCCAGGATTCAAAGTCTGCCCACCATGTAGTGGCATCTTGTGTTCCTGTGTAGCGTGGTAATTGTAGATGGTACATGGCTGATGTTGCTGGAGGACTGGTATAGGCTGGTGCTGACAAGGTTGAGGCGTTTGACGTAGTAGCTGGAGTTCCTGTCGTGGCCGATTAAGTAGTTGTAGTTGTTGTTGTTGATGATGATGATGATGATGATGTGTGAAAGGCTGTTGGTGATGTTGGAGACTTAGGTTCTAATGGTTTTTGTATCGTGGAGATATTTGAATGTTCACCATTGAACTCACCTTGATAATTGCGGAGCCTCTCTCTGTAATTCTCTGGTGTTCTGCCAGTCATTGACCTGGTCCAGGACGGATCCTCTCACCAGTTGACGTAGGGCTCGTATGAGTGAAAGTCTTTCGGTGTTGTTGCTACTGTTTTTGGGGGGGAATTAGCAATGGTAGGGCAGTCAAGACTGGCTGGCACCTTAGAACAGAGAAGGCTTCGAGTTGAGGCGTTTATTCGGTGCTAAGGCAGATTCGAGTATGATACGCTTTACAGAGGCAGAATCATATATAGTCAAGTGAGTCATTATGATACGTGAATAACACGATACAGTGGCAGTATGCATTAATAATTTTAGAATGTGATAATCAAAATACAATATGATAGGTGTGCAAAGCCTTTACAGAGACAGAGTCATATATAGTCAAGTGAATCAAATTGATAGTGTGCAAGGCCAACTCATTTTCATGGGCACGTGTTCTGCCGGCAAACCGATGTTATGAGTATCGCCTCTGAATGTAGTAACATGGTAGTTTTGACACTGGTACGCATACTCATAGTGGGATATTGCCATGCAGACAGTGCCCTAAGATAACATATATAACGCAAAGAGGGAATATTGTCAGTAAGACACAAGATACAAGGCTATGCTGCATTCATGTTATACCTAACTTTCACCTAACAGATATCATTGTAAAGAGCAATAAGTTATACAATTGTCAAATAATGTCTTACCTTAGAACAGAGAAGGGCTTCGAAAGTTGAAGCGTTTATTCGCTGCGAAGACAGAGTGAGGTAGCCTTCACCCATAGCCATATATATACACAACTCAAGCCTTCATTAATAACATAACCGAAAGTTTTGAATTCCTATTATCCTCTCAATCATCCAAGGTTGTCAGAGTTTATCGGTGGTCACCCTGGATGGTTGTCAGGTATGTTGTTATATTGCCTAACTGACCCTTCAAGACAAGACAGTCAGGCTGACCATGTGTGTCGACCCTGTTATGTAAAGGTTAACACATCGATCAGTCTTTCCCAGAGAGCGTGACCGTTTTACGCCAGCCTGGACAGACAGACTTGCGTAATGGCCTCAGGCTCCCTGCTGGAGTGACAGTGCGTTTAGCCACATATGTGAAATATGGTATGTCTTGTATGTGGCGGTCAGGTAGTGCAATTTCAACCCTGAATTTACTTTAGAATTGTTAATACAAGTTCGCAATATGGTAGTTCTGAGATGTAGTTCCTAGCTAAAAATAAGTCTTAAAAGAAAACTATGACAATAGACAGAAATGTACTGAAATCTACTGAAATGTTCTAATTATAGGCGTAAACGTTCCCTCTGGATTATGGTTGCCTTATTCCTGTGGATTCCACAGATACATACAGAATGGAAATGAAATTTTTAACTAAGTCATAGCTATCCCTAGTGGTATGCTTAAAGAGTTACGCGGTTATCTCCCTTAGGCTAGCTGTGACGTCACAACGTAGTTGTTGAAAACCTCTCATAATTTTTCTGTATGGACAACACAGAAGACGTGTTTACAGAGTGGAAGTGTTTTTTAACTTTTCTTCAAATTTTCAACAACTTCAAGACTCCTGGGTGCCGTTTCACGAAAGCCTCTTAGCGCTACGACGTCCTAGCCCGTACGACCTACTTTAGGATGTCCTAGCATAATGATTTACGACTGTTGCATGAAGATATCGTAAGCCCGTCGTAAACTCCTCTTAAGATATGGGTGTATTTACGATTTACGATGTCCTAACTTGCATAGCAACGCCTATGTAATCGAACCGGAAATGGAAGCGCACCTGTTTAAATTTCATCAGCAAAAGAGCCAAACACTAAATATGAATTCAATAAAAGCTTATATGGTAAGTATGGTTAATTACAAACCTGTTGAAGTTTAATGACAGTATGTTCCATCGCATGAAGATTCCATCATCAGTTTGTAAATCTGATGATTTTAATAGTAAATAACAATATCTGTCTGCTCGGCAAGACTTGTAACTCTCCTGTGTGGAGATATGGAAGATTGTAATATCAGAGTTGTTCCCCTCAAAGCGGCAGACGACAAGGAAAACATATTATGGGCTTGATCCTAAAAGAGGAAGAAGAAATTTCTCCACTGCGGACATTGATATAATGCGTGTCTGGCGTGGAGAGTAATTTTTGAAGCGCTTGATCTCAAGCCTCACAAATACGGTCACCAACAATGTAAAGAAGAAGATCTGGAAAGATATCACCACGAAGTAAGTTCATTTGTTCCAACGACATGTTACATGAAACTATAATAAAATCTAAATCTGGCCTATTTTTAACTTACCCAAAAAGATTGAGAGACATTCCATAACACGTTTGTACTTATTTAAACTTATACGAATTGTCAGACTTATTTCATTCTGAAATAATACGGATAATGAAACGAACTAAATTTGTGGGGAAATGGTTTATTGCTATCAACTATGTTCTACAATGTAAGAATAGTACAATTATACCAAATTAATTCATTGGTTTATTGATTATTATTATTCAAGTTTCGTTTTCTCATGAAACCATAATCCACTCCTTTTCACAGCTGAACCCAAAATTTATTATCTAACAATCTTCCCAGACTAAGATAATATTAATAATGACTGTAATGATAATGATAATGATGATATCATATTTTCAATATCAGACTTAATGCAACTGGTGACATAACAAGGAATGAAGAGGAGGTCCGAAAGAAATGGACAGATATGAAGGCATGTGCCAAAAATCAGAGTCCATGGGGAGGCTGAATGCTAAGAGAACTGGTGGTGGACCACCCCCTGATGATCTTACTGTAATGGAAAAGAGGGTAAATAAATATACAAAGCATTTAGTTTTATAATGAATACAACAAACTGAGTTTGAGTAACACTGGACATGATTCATGAAAATGAAATTGTGTATGCACTAAGAAACTCAAAACATATCTATAATAATAGTAATAGAGCTACCATTTCCTTCTTTTATTAGATTCTACAATTAATTCCTGCCTGTGCTATTGAGGGGATTCAAGGAGGCATAGAAACACCTGGTAATGATGAGACTGTCTTCATGTTGTTCATGTACATGTGTATTAAAGTTACTGAAATATGTAGTTTAATCAAGTTCTAAATATATTTCAAAGTTATTGTATGAAATGTTGACAGTGTTTCTTTATAACATCACAAATGTAAAATTTGTTTTACTTTCACAGTCTTCAGCATGATTCCATCTATTGCTGATGAAGCTGAAGAAACAACATTTCTCTTTGGTAAATAATGATGCAAACTCATTTCTTTGTTTTGAAGATGCAAAAATATTTTATTTTGCAAAAATTCAAAACCTACTACTTTTCATTTTAAAGTTTAACTCGTTCTTGTCAAACGTAATAAATATCAAATAAATTTATATTTGGTGTAAAGTAGTTTTGGACATAAAAGCATATATAAAATTTAACAGTTACATAACTATCATATCCAATGTTATCATCCAGTTAATGTTGTGTGTGAAAATGCATACAGTCACAACTGATATGTTTCAGATTCTCAACAGGAAGTGTTCTTCACACCAGTAACTGCCACAGATACAGAAGGCAGTTGTGGAGCTAGCACAGGTGTGACACCATTCCAGATATTCAGATGATGAAATGCTACCATTCTTTGCAATTTACAATGACACAGTTAAGCAATTCCACTGATTTTTAGCTACACTTTTAACATGTTATCAGTTATAGTTATTTAAAAGAATGCTATGCATTTCAGATAAGGACCAAGCTTGTGTGGTGGACACAATGGTCACTCCTGCTATTGAAAAAAGTATGTATTTAACATTATTTAACTTTATTGATAAATATTTGTGCACACATAAAAAGGCAATTTACTTTGTTAGTATCTCTAGCTAATAACAATACAAAATTTCTTTCAAGGAAAACCTAAAGGGAAGCCTCCGGTAAAGAAAACATCAAATGAAGGTATGTTATTGCTTTGTTTACAGTATTCTAGTATCAGTACTGCAATTGTGATCATAAATATTTCATTGGATGGTATTAATGAACATGCACACATCATTGGTTATCACACAAAAAATGTCTTAATCTTTTCAGAAGACATTCTGGGAGAAATCAAATCCTTCAAGCACAGGAAGAAAGAAAGATGTATCTTTTGGAAGAAATTCTGTCTGTGCAGCGGGACATCCGGGACATCCAAAGACAAAGGCTGGATCTGGAACGAGAGAAATTTGAATATAAAAAATCATTTGGAAATTCATTGTCTCCAATTATCAAATTTAATTAAAGGCACATGTTTACTTGTGCTGATGAAAGTTTTCATGTGTTTGTTTTCTTATTTGGATAAAACATATGTATGTAAAAAATATATTTTCCATAAACACTAAAAATACTATAATGGAGGATTCACAAGTGTTTCTATAAAGTGGTTCAGGATTTTGAAAAACCTGCTACCTTGCCACTTCAGGTAGGACATGTGGATATTACATGGTTTGTGGACTAGTGGTGGTCCGATTAATTGAAATAATCGAGGATTGGTCGCAGTGACTAGACAACCAAGCAGTCGAACATGTTTTCTCATCATAATCGAACACAAACGATTTTTGCACACTTGTATGCATCAACAATATCTTTCACAAGGCTGGTTTTGACTCCATGAAATTATTGTTCCTAACATAGTCATCCTTTAAATATCTTGCGCAGTTTGCATAAAACCCCAAAGAACTACATGTTTTTTCTTAATTTTTTGTGTACATTAACAAATATAACAGGAACATTTGATAAATGATGCTAACCAATTATTTTCTATGATTGATTGGTTGTAATGGATCAAACATCAATTATGATATTTTAACCAATTCCCATCACTATTGTGCAGAGAAGGATCACTTACTGGTTATGTGTGTTAAAACCTTGTGTTGATAAGATTTCTCCTGACTTTATATCCATCGGTGTTGTAGTTATCAGAATGAGTGTTGTCCATGTCTGGTCCACTAGTCTCACACAGAACATCTGGCTCAGGCAACCTCAATAAAAATAGCAGGCATCCAGTTGATTTGTGAAGACACCTACACAGATTTTTTTATAATTACATGTTTGTATTCACAGACAGGGATGAATCATGCATGTTTATAGCACAGTTATTAAGAATTTCAAGAAGGAATAACAAAGTGAAATAATTATGTAGAAAAGGGTATAATTACATATAATCACCAGTACTACCTCTTTAGATGAGAAGCTTTAATAACACCTTGAATTAAGACATAAGACTTCCTTATATTTACCTGAATCTAGATTTGCACAACCCAAATGCCCTCTCCACTGAGTTTCTTGTAGCAGTGTGGCAGCGGTTATATTTCTCCTCTTTTTCATTTTCTGGATTGCTGACTGGAGTCAGGAGGTAGGGTCTGCATGCATACCTATGGAAAATGTTTTGAAATGTTTAAATGTTAAGGGTAGAAATATGACATTTTTGTTAATAAAAGACAAAGGCTGACATGACATAACTTGAACATAGATATACCTACCCTGAATCACCAAGAAGCCAGATGCCATATTTCCCTTCCTGGAGACAGCATTTCAAATTGCAGTTATTAAATATATGGGAATCATGTGTTGATCCAGGCCATTGGACGATGATGTTCGTGAATCTGCAATTATAAATACATAGATAAAGTACTATGTTATTTAAGAGATCAATCTTTATAAAAATATTTAACACAACTCCACATTTACCACATGGCACAATGGCCTTACAGTTATATACATCAAAACAAATAAATATAAATATTTTTAATATACCCAACAAATAAATAGATTTTTGAAGTAAACGTGCATTAGAAGGCAAACTTATTTTATAAAAAGCCGATCAATGGGACAAACAAGCCTATATTAGCGATTTGAAAATCAAATACTGACACAATGACATTTATTATTTGCAAGTCTCAGCAAGTCTAGATCGTTTGTTTACATTGCAAGGGTCAAGGACGTCAGGGATATTTACCGCAGTTGAGCGTCGCACACAGCTTGCACATTGATGGCATGGAATCCTTTCCCTGCACACATATACTGCCTCATCCAATGGTGGCCATTGAATCGGTATTAGAGTGCAATCTATGCAGCCAACAACTTTCGGAAAACCACAGATGTTGAAGAAATCCTCCGCAAGTTTTGCATGTTTGTCGGGCGATGGAAACCGGATCAGATCGTGCTGCGAGTTGACAAATTGCTTCCGTGAGTGTCTTCCAACACGCGAACTAACACTTGACTTGGCAATACCATGTATGTCTCCTAGTTCGCTGAGAAATCCACCTTTAGAATAATATCTAAGTGTTGCTAACACCTGAACATGGGCTGGTAGGGCACACTTAACGCTTATCGGCCGAAAGTGATGGCCGAGCTGACCCGATCAACCAGCTGAAGGATGTTATGTCGAGGGGGAAACGATACCTGGCAATCAGTTCTGTGTCGGTCAACGTGTCCAATATTTGGGTCCTATCTCTGAATATTCGCTCTCGCTTAATATTTCTCCTGTTCAAAATCTCTTGGATTCTCAGTAGTGTCGCCATATTAAACGCTGACTTACGATGTCGTAAGCTAGTTACAAGTGCCTCTTACCCATCGTATGCTAGGAGGTTGTTTATGATGTGGTGTAAAGTTAGGAGGTCTTTGTGGAACGATACAAAAAATTAAGAGCTGCTTTACGACGTGGTTTAGGACGTCGTAGCGCTAAGAGGCTTTCGTGAAACGGCACACTGGTAGTAGTCGCATTGGTTGATGTTTCTGACAATCGCATTCTATATTTGTGCATATTGCTTGATTTTCATCTAATTTTCCCGCCAAAAATCATAATGTCTCAAGCACGTGTCTGCAATCTCAAAAAATTCATGGCCAAATTGTATCCCCATTTCTGATTGCCTCCTGCCTCACGGGTCCTCCCTACTCTTTTTATAACCGATTTTCATTGTGTCAAGAATTGTTTTTGTAATGTGATTGGATTAATGGACAATATTCGGCATTATTTCATCCCTTACGGGGTACATTCATTCGTCCATTTATCTATTCTTTGCAATTCGATAAAAAAGAGGCTAAAAATTAATCTGCAGAGGCAGTTTGATCAGGCTGAAGCCTGTCGGCCGTGTGCCGTCAGACTCGAAAGACCACGGCCAGGGCCATCGGTCTAGAGTTTATACCCGTAGGTCGTTATGGTGCTGTACTCGGGAAAGCCGTAGTATCACCCGTGAACTGAAGCTGATGAGCAATCCCCACGGGGGAGAAGCCAAGGTTTCGAGCTCGAGGGACTATGTCGACGGTTCGAATTAGGCAGGATTTGCCCATGGCGCAAAGCCGCACGGGCCCGTGGGCCCTTTCAGTCCCTGGGTTTCAACCGCAACGGTTACAACCCATAAAAGCCCTCGGCCGGCCACCCTTTCCGCGCAGGGCGGATTGGAGCCGACTAGCGAGCATAACGGGCTGATCCCGTGGACCGCTTTTATGCCCACACGCGTATGGGATCGTCCCAGTCAACCGCATCGCTACGGAGACACGGGCTTCACGGCTGTCCATCAGCTGCCGTCTCCCGTTAGCCACGGGTTGTCTGGAGACGCGCGAGCATAACGGGGCTGATCCCATGGTCCGCTTGCTGCCCACTCGTATGGGATCGTCCCAGTCAACCGTACCAGCTACGGGAGACACGGGCTTCATGGCTGTACACCAGCTGCCGTCTCCCGTAGCCACGGGTAGTCCGGCGGATCGGTGGCATGGCATAACGGGATATATCTCGGCTCAGATTGACACCGTCTAGGTCGACAAGGTCGACCGACGGTAGCTTATGCCCATGGCACAAGCCGCATGAGGTCCTGCCGTTAGTCCCGGGGGTTCAACTGCTTGCGTTTGACCCTACTGATAATAAGTCCGCTTGGCAGGCAATCGTTTATTTCCGCATGGTGCGGTCGGAGTCGCAAGCCAAATGTGACCGAGTGCCATCCACGGAATCGTCGGCCATAGTAACTCGTATGACGCCGGCAAGAGCCATAGTTTAGGCAGCTGAGGTACTCTTTAGTTTATACGTGGGTAGTCGAGTATCAACCACAGAGTGAGCTAGTTAAGTTTTCCGCTTCACTCGGCAATATTCCATCTTTATGGCAGCGGTCTGTAATTAATCGAGTCGGGACCAGACAATCAAGCTTATGTTTAACAACATGAGCATCGATCTACACAATTGGGATACGATGACTTATTGTGCTAACCAAGTCAGCGAGCCTGACCACCTGTTTCTATTAGTCGCCCTTTATGTTAAGTAGAGGGACCTCCCAAGACATTTCTTCCCCATTCATCACTGGTAAACGGCATTGGGAATTCTCACTTCTCAACTCTCGGTAGATATCTACCTTCAGGGGGATAGATATAAGGGTGTCAGCAGTGTTTGTCACGACGCAGATAACCTGCATTTTTTAACACACAATTATCTCAAATAGGCAGTGGATTTAGAAGCTTGCGTCATTGTTGACGAACTGCTGCTGGGCCCTTAGTTCAGATAATCTAACTTTTTGACCGCTCGGTACTGCTTAAATACCTGACATGTCTTATTTGTTTTGTTTGTTGTTATTAAACAATCAACATTGATGTCTTGATGGAAGTTCCAAACTGACGTTTACTCACAAAACATATCCATGACTCCTTCGCATATGTCACTTGAGCCTACGACAACTCTGAGCTAGGTAGTTGTCGATCTCGTCTCCACTTGACAATCTGTTCCACTTGGCGTGGTAAACAATGATATACATTTTCGTCATCTGGGCCTATTACTTCGTCTACTACTTCGGTTTTTCATCCGTTCCATTGGAATCTACCTACGGCCACGGCTTCCAAACAACCCGGTACAGCTGTTTAAGGTACTCTGTATCAAATACAAGAGTCTAAATGGCATGGCACCAAAATATCTATCATATAAGTGAATGGCTAACCCGCTTCAACCACCCAGACAACAACGATCTGGAAGCAATTCTTATTTAATATTCCTTCTTACAGACTGCCTTGGCCTCTTATTGCGAGTGTTCTTTCAGTGGTTGCGCGTCATCACTGTGGAATAGACTGTTCCTCGCTATAAACTGTTTCCATGTTTTATTGCGTTCAGATCACATCTTCAACGCATCTCTTTCATTGTACTATTAACTCAAACCTCACTTGCAGCTCTTGAGCATCCACTTGTGGTTGGACTTGGCGATACATAACCTTTCAGTAATATTATTATTATTACTATTACTGAATTAGAAACACCACGGCTATATTCTAGGCCACGGTTCAAATCAATCTGCTGTCCCACGAGGCGACAGCAGTTCAGGTAGCATGAGTCGGACCAGGTGACGACCAGATGAATGAATCAGATAAGGGGATGACACGTGCATTTTCTTGCCAGAATGCACTGTCAGCTGAGCCATCAACGATGGAAACAAGACTGATATCCAGTCACTAAATACAGGCAACTGAGTTTATTCAAATTGCCTCAATATAACCAAGCAGGGTACATGGGTACCTGGTGGGATAATTAATGTGGCTATTCAATTTTCTCGCGCCTCTTGGCAGCATGGGTTTTCAGGGGTAATAAAAGGTAACATGTCAACACCTTGAGCATGTGCCTTGTACCTGGAAAAGGCGTGTTATAGGGCACATTTATTGTTCTAAAAAGTGCCTATTATCCCTCTGCTTCTGACGGATCTTGGAAGGTGTATTCCGTCGTTAGTTTATTTTTTCATCACCCTCATCTCCCTAAACAAGCTAATGGCATCTTCCGTTTGGGCTACCAACTTCTGCCATGCTTTGCGACCATGTGTTACGCTGGGCCCCATCTCGCTTATCGCAATATACGCAAGGTGGCGCAAGTTTGCGAGCGCAAAGGGAGCCGGAAACCAGCTTGGGAACCAGCTTAGACATTGTGTAAGCTAAAATATAACGAATTTTTTCATTGGCTGATAAATAGTATTTACTGCGGAATGAATGACGCTGATTGGCCGAGAGCTAATACATTGTAAATGGACGCCATAAACATCGTGTTGTTAGGTTTTAGAGTGTTACGGGGGGACATGAGTTTAATCATGGGTTAATCAACAGCTCATTGAATTGTAATATCTTTTTCTATGAAGGTACGTTCTTTGAAAAATATGACGCGCCATTGGAGATGCGCTGTAAGCGTTTTATGCACCATGTGGGAAATTATTCCGTGAATTCATGTCTGCGTTCACTGAACAAGTGGCTGGACAATTCGAAAACCTGTAGAAAAAAGGGTGGGAATGCATCGGGAGGGCACTTGATCCCTCCTACTCGTGATTGTTTCATATAATCTAGATCAACCTTCAACTTACAGGTAAGTTTCGTTTAATCTTCGATTATATTTCAACCAATCACGCCGTAGATCGTGATCACGTGAGATGTTTAAAGTCACAGGGTTTCAAACAGACAACCCAAAGTTTAAGCATCAACTTTTAATAAGGAGCAATAGAAAAATGTACATGGGTTTCAGCAAACATCCAATCATATCAAAAAACATTGCCAATGGTGAGACATAATATAAGAACACTCTAACTACATGTATTGTTTAACAGTGATAAAGCAAATGCGTGATCTTTGACAGGTTTATTGTAGAATTTCGCAAACGTACTGGAGGTGCTCCAGCCAGCAGTCTGTAAAATAGTCTGCAGAGGCACTGAGTGCCGCGAGGCCGCGCTAGAAGCAGCCATGCGTGTGCTGTGGGGGGTGAAGATGCTCATGTCCACACCACTGCGCATGAGCACGACCTTCACCCAGCGGGATACAGTGTCTTTGGTCACAGGCTTATGTGGTTTGGCATAGCTAATTAGCAACTGAGTCTCTGTCCCGCGCAGGCTGGCGGTTCTTGTTTGATACTCCTTCAACACTGTCACAACACATAACCTCACATCAGGGTCGTATGCCGGGAGAGAGATTTCTCCAAGGTGGAATCCATGTCTAGATTGCTTAAGCAAAGTAGCTATTCTAATAGTGCAACTACTGTCAGTAACGGTAATGTTTCTAATATCTA